ATACACGCTCAAGACTCACCGAAAGTATGAGCTCTCAGTGGGGACAGTCATCAAGTATCAGTAGTAGCACCGAAACTCAACGTGGTTAACATATAACTAACTAAACAAACTAGACATACGTTATCAAGCGTTTTCTCAATGCGTTTATACATATAATGTTAAAGCCGTAAAGTTATTGAGAGATTCGAACCCTAGACGATCGGTTCATGGCGGTTTACAATTTAGTGCGGAAATGATACGATGCACTAGGCTACGTCGACGTGTTGTTTAAGCGTGTTTTGAATTCATTTAAATTGTCATTTTAACACTTTACGTAGAGATTTTTTTCTGCACAGAATTTTTTTAAAGTTGCTTACGCACATTTTTAGGGAAATTCCTTGAGAAATTCCCTATATAATCCTACACAAAAAGCAAGATTTAAAGTTTCTAAATATAACTTGTTTGTCACAAAAATCTTTTATTTTACTTAATCTATAAAGATTAAATATTTTTGTATAAAAGCTGCATTTTTTATATGAAAAAATCAAATGGCAACTACAAAGCGTATTACGAAAAAAAAATGTCAAAAGAAAAAATTATTCCTACTCTCATTATTGATGATGATGAGCAAGAGTTAGAATTTACTCAAATAGACTTAACAGCCAATGAATTCATGAAATCGTTAGACAAAAAAACTCTAAATGAAATTGAAAAAGAAGTAGAAGAAAAGGGTACGCAAGAAGAAAATGTTCACTTTCAAGTTAAAAAAGTAAGATATTTTTATATTCTTTTTTTTAACTTGTTTTAACTTGTTAGAAAAAAAATTTTTTAATTTTTTTTGAGAAAAAGAGCAAATACAAATTAAAACGAAACAAAGAACGAAAAATAAAATTTTTACAAAAACAATTACAATATGGACTGGATTTTTTAAAACAACATTGTTGAATAGTTTTTTTGGTTTTAATAAAATATAATGTTTATATCTTTTTTCTTTTTTTTAATGCTGCATTTCTTTCGTGTTTTCGAATAACGTAAGCTTCGTTTGATATTTTCCATCGTTTTACTTTTTTACCAACGCGTCCCAATTTACGATTAGATTTGTTATCTTTATATGTTTTTTAGTTTTTTGTAAACATACTAATATATTTTTACAATTGCTTGGTATCCCTCTATTTTCTGTTTGCGTATGTTGCAAGTTTGTTGTAGTACGTACAAAATCAATTTGATTATTTAAATAATTATCTACAGTGTTTTTTGATCTAGGTGCATATCTTGTGCGAGGCATTTTTGAAATATTTTTTTTGTTACTAAAAAAATATATATTTATATAATAACATTTTTTGAATATTATATAATAACAAATTTTTTACAGATTTAATTATTTAAAATAAAATGAGTGAAAATGAATTAACAAATATCTTGTCATTCTATCTTGAAGCCTATTGGCAACAATTTGCTAATTATTTGAATATGCAAAGCTGTGTTATTGATGCCATTGACAACGACTACAATAGAAGTTATTTAAAAATATGTCGAGTAATTACGCTATTTTTTCAAGTTAATCCAGAAGAAAAATTTAATCCGCAATTTATATTAAAAACATTACAAACATGGTTAAATGACGAACAACAAAAAAATAATTTTAAATTAATAAACAATTTAAACGAATTAATTATTAAAGTTAATATTCTTTTAGTAGAACCCAAGGCATATTAATTTTTTTATATTGTATAACATGTTGTAATTTTTTTAGATTAACTAAAAAAGCATAAAATGGAAGCCATTTACGCTAAGGTAAACAAAGCGATCTACAGATATGGCAAACCCTCTGTACAAATTGAATTTGTCAAACCGTACGAGGCCATGTTTGTAGATGGCGATTCTATATTCAATTTACAAAATGTCGACATTATCGATGAGAAAGAAGACTATGAAGATGATCATGATGAAGACGATGATGAAGATGATTATGATGAAAACGATGACGATGAAGACGATGACGATGAAGACAATGAAGATGAAATGGATAATGAATATGATAATGATGATGATAATGGTGATGACAAAGAAAATGAGCCTATGGAAATAGACAATTGACTTTTTTTTAAATTATTTTGTATTTTTAATTTTTAATGTCCCTTTAGTTTTGACTGTTTTAAGAAATTATTTTCTTAAAGCAGCCAAACCTAAAGGTATAAAAAATAAAAAAAACAATGGAATGGAATGGAAATAGACAATAACATAAAACCTTTAGTTTTGACTGTTTTGAAAAATTTATTTTCTCAAAGCAGCCAAAACTAAAAACAATGGAATGGAATAAAACAATGGAAAAAACAATGGAATGGAATGGTACTAAATGGAATGGAACTAAATAAAACAATGGAATGGAATAAAACACTTTTGTTCACAATTGTTATGAATACGAGATTGTCACTTCTATTCAGTAGAAGTGGCAATTTCATATTCATAACAATGTTACATATTTTACGGATCAACTGTTATTGCAATTGATTATATACATTAAAGATTTTTTGTAAATTTATAATAATTTGTATTTTTTTGCTTTTTAATAATAAATGTTTTTTTTTTTTCACATTGTTCTTTTAAAATATGTTGACCCTATTTGTCTATAATTTTACCAATAATATTACATAATATTACCCATAATATTTTTTTAAAAAAATATTTATATTATTTTAATAACTTTTTTAGCAACTAATTATAAAAAATGGCTGAAGCTATGGATAAAGAATTTTGTTATTATTGCAAATTACCCTTTACTATTGATCAACTACTTAATCATCAACTAAAATGTAACACATCACAAGATTATGATTGTTTTAGCTGAGGAAAAAAATTAAAATGTCAGATACTTAGGAACATGAATGTGAAATTTATCACGAGGAACACGTAGAAAAAAATCTAACTAAATTATGTGTATTTTGTTGAAATCAAATTCAAAAAAACAACTATGATCAACACGTCATCGAATGTTTTCATTGTTTTGTAAATAAAAAGAAAGAAGTAATGGAAAAACTAAAAAATGTTATTATGGATCAAAAACAAAGTTCAACTTTTTTAAACATGACTACTAATAACATTCTAAACAGTTTAGAAGCTGTCAACAATCAATTAAAAGTATTAACTAAACGAATGGACAACGTGGGCTTGGAAATGAAAGAGTTTGTGAATAAAAACACATTTGAAAAAGTATTGAACAACATCAACTTGGAAATGAAAGAATTTGTGACTAAAAACGCATTTGAAAAAGTATTGAAACTATATGATAATATACTAAATTATAATAAAGATATCAACGACAAATTCATGTCTGATAATTTAATCATACAATTGGACCAAATGGATTTAAGATTACAATCTAACGAATCTTATCATACTCAACCTTCTTATACTGCAGACGGTTATTCCTACCGATTAAAAATTTTTGGTTACAGTAATAAAGAAGATAAAATGGGTATTTATTTTCAATTGATACAGTCTCTAAAAGATCATTCTTTAAAACGGCTATTTATGAAAACTGTAACATGTACAGTTAAAAACGAAACTTTGTATATTGAAAACACAAAAATAATAGCCAATTATAGCGAACCGTTAAAAGAATGTTTTGAAAAACCTGCTCAAGCGTATAACCGAGCTATTGGAACAGATAGTTTTGCAACACATGATCAATTAAAAAGACATTGTATAAAAAACAATAAACTTATTATACACGTTTCTTTTATATAATTTGTTATGTATTTTTGTATTTAATTAATAATCATAAAATTAATAAACTTGTTATACACGTTTCTTTTATATAATGTATTTTTTATATAATGTATTTTCTATATTTAATATAATGTTATATTTTTTTAGAGTATTAAAAAAATGAACAGTGCAATCATGAGAAATTTAGCTGACTACATCACTACGTCTGATGTAAAAAAATTAAAAATGTTTTTAAACATTCCTTACGGAATAAGAGAGAAAATTAAAGACGGACTAGATTTAATGGAGTACATTTAGTGCAAGAATTTTCTACATGAACACTTTGAATACAAGACTAATGAAGCTAAAATAAAACTTATTTTAAATTTATTAAATGAAATCGGTAGAAAGGATATTTATAAAAAGTTTATAGTTAAATTTGAAAAACCTCCATCATACGAAGAAAGTGTAAATCCTCCACCGTATACAGAACTGGAAAATCGAGGCAGATATCCAAACTTTAAAGTGTCAGATCCGTTTTTTGCAGAAAACGCAGAATGTAATACTCCATCGTATTATCCACCTGAAGTTGTTAGTTTAAAACAAAAAGAAATTTTGAACTATTATAATAAAAAATAATTTTTTTTTAATTTTGTATTATCTTTTATTTGTTATTTTTATTATCTTTCAATTTGTTTATTTTTTTAGCAAAAATGAAAAAAGAACAATTAAATAAAATACTTAATGAATTACACGAATTTTATTCAATGAAGCAAAACAAGTTGAAGAATGGAATTACAACTATAATCTTGTTTTCGATCTTGTTACAAATATTGAAACATGGTCTTTACAAGATTTGTGTAAAAGAAAAATAGCTTACGAAAAACTTTTGAACACTGTTATACCAAATTTACAAAAACAAATTAACGATTTAATGCAAACGTTTTTTCATGCAAACGAAAATTTATTATTGTTTTATGATCGTTATCAATTATATACTGATCATTGTTTTTATAATATTATTAATGACACAAATCATTTTTATAAGAAACATTATTTATTTGTTCAGAATTTAATTATACATTATGTATATCGACTTTTTGAACTAACATATTTTATGCTTCGTTATAAAACTAAACAAGACAAATAATTATGTCATCTCTTTTTAATATTTATATGCAATGTATAGATTGGTTAATCCCAGTAAACATTGGACGTCTGCTAGACGTCCTAGGACGTGCAAAACTGGTCCTATCGTCCGTGGCGTGCTTAGACGTCTGAGGACGTCCAACTTAGTCTAAATTCGTCTTGATCCATTGCATTCTCGTAATTAGACATCCGTGGACGTCCATAGACGTCCGCATTTGATTTTAATGCGCATGCGCTTACTGAAGCTATTTTATCGACGTGCTTTGCTATACTTTCCACTCGTGATAATCTTGTTAATCTGTTTGATTTAAATTTAAATTATTTTAAATTGTTCGGAATGGATTCAAAAAGTTATGAAAAAAGAATTAAGAAAAACCCTGAAAAAAGATCCCACAGGTAGGTCAACACCTATTTTATATTAGGGAAAACTTAAAGTTTATAATCTGGCTATATTAATAAAAGTTAAGGTTTATAATCTGGCTATATAATATAGTATATTATAGCCAGATTATAAACCTTAATTTTTCGTACTATGAGAAATAAGGTCATTATTATAGTATGTATTTATAAATAAAGGTTTATAAAGCTATGAGTCTTAGCGTTAAGTCAAAAGCTAGGAATATGTTTTAAATAATTTTATAATATTTCACTTGAGTAATAGTAAATTATATAAGTAATATAATGATTGATAATAATATCTTAGAATTGTGTTGCTTAAGAAAGATTCTGGACAACGCCTTTTTCCCTTGTTAAAACAATAACTATATTTACTTTTAAGCGATCTATTTTATACCTGCTATTTTAGAATTTATATACAATTTTTATTTTTCTTTCTAGTTATTTCTCTGTCATAACGAAATAACTAAAGAAAAAACTAAAAAATGATGCGTAAAGGTCTATTGTCATAGACTATGACAGTAGATCTTTACGCATTATCAGTTTGTAATTGTTAGTAAATATCTCTCACTTTTGTATATATATATATATATATATATATATATATATATATATATATATATATATATATATATATATATATATATATACAAAATATATATATATATATATATATATATATATATATATATATATACTGCATATATATATATATATATATATATATATATATATATATATATATATATATATATATATACTGCATATATATATATATATATATATATATATATATATATATATATATATATATATATATATATATACTGCATATATATATATATATATATATATATATATATATATATATATATATATATATATATATATATATATATATATATGCAGTTGTTAAAGTGTCTAAAATATTAATTGATTGACAAAAACATAGACAATGTTATATTTCCTTGCATTTATTTTTATATCTTTATTGTTTAACTGCTTTAAAATATGATCAAGAGGCTTTATTTAGATTAAAATTGTTGGACCTTCAAAATAGGGTATACTCAACGTTCCTTCAAATAGTTAAAATTTTGTTTTAGCGAGCGAACTACTTATTGGCGAAACATCAGAAAACATGTTTTTGCAATCTCACAATCTGTTGATGAAGATGAGTGGGTTGAGGAGCACACTAGCACAAACGAAACTTATTCTTTAAAAAATTCACAGTTATTTCCTGAGCATCGATCAGAAAGTGAATCTAGTCATGACTTGTTTTCAGAAAATAATTCTGCTGAGTTTAATGATAACAATTGCTTGTCTGAGACAATAGATTTTCCTTTAAGTAATGATACTAATTTACTGTCTGAACACATTCGTATTTGGGCTCTGCAACACCGATGCACACAAGCTTGTGTCAATGGTTTGTTAAACATTTTAAGATCTCATGGTCATCAACTACCTAAAGATTCACGATCCATCTTGGGCACATTAGATAAAGTTCAAACCACAGAATTAAATGCTGGAGAATATTACTACCTCGGTATAAGAAAAGGTCTCGAAGATATATTAAAAAATAATATTTATGCTGATAAAGAAATTAAACTTCTGTTTAATGTAGATGGTCTTCCAATTTTCAAGTCATCTGGATACCAGTTATGGTTAATAACATCCCAATTTTCTAACTTCAATCCGTTTACAATTGCGTTGTATGGTGGGTATGATAAGCCAACTGCAATTAATTTTCTGCATGATTTTTCAAAAGAACTTCAGGAATTTCATAATAAAACTGTTATTTTATGTGGAAAGTTTTATATTGTTTCAATATTTGCGATTCCATGTGACTCACCGGCTCGAAGTCTTTTAAAGGGAACTGTGCAACACAGTGGTTACAATGCATGTGAGCGTTGCGATGATTATGGGGTCCCAGTTCAGGGTCGGATAGTATATGATACAACAAATCCTAATTTAATTTCATCACGAACTGATAATGGGCTACGGACTGGTCAATATTCTGAAAGAAATAATGATAACAGGTGTCATCATCACAATATAACGCCCTTGTATGAAATACATAGTTTAGATCTTGTTAAACAATTTCCATTAGATTATATGCATCTGGTTTGTTTAGGTGCTGTGCGTCGTATTTTATATTATTTCAAAGGCTCATATCCACGTATATTTTCAGGAAGATTATCTGCTGCAAACTTAATAAAAATTTCTAATCGTCTAAGTCAAATTAAAGGAAAGCTACCTTCAGAGTTTGTAAGACAGCCTCGTGAATTGACTGAGGTTAATCGTTGGAAGGCAACTGAACTTAGAACATTTCTTTTATATACTGGTATTGTTGTTCTTAAGAATGTTTTAAATCCTAAAACATACAAGCATTTCTTAAGTTTAGTGCTTGCCATTCGTATGTTATGTGAAGAGAATATAAATTTGAGGCAGACTTATTTAAATTCAGCACGTGAATTAATTAACTATTTTGTAACCAATGCCCATGAACATTATGGTAATACCTTTACCGTTTACTGTATTCATAATCTGAAACATCTTCCTGATGATGTTGAATATTTTCAATTGCCTCTTGATGCTTATTCTTGTTTTCGATTTGAAAATTATTTGCAAACTATAAAGCGTCTAGTGCGCGGTAAAAGAAATCCATTAAAAGAAATTATAAAAAGACTTGATGAGTTGAAGGGAACATTACAAGAAAACTCTACTCATATAACAAAACTTGATTGTGCTAAAAACTCTTGGTTTCTTAGCAAAAATTATGTCTGCTTTATAAAAGAAATTTTACCAAATGGTAGATTGGTTTACAATGCCTTTAAAAAGACTGAGCTAGATAATTTTTTCATAGATTTTATTGATTCTAATAAACTAAACATATTCGTCATAAAAAAAGATAAACATCCTTTAGAGAAAATAGATGATGTAGACATTGTATTAAGAAAATGTGTTTGTTTGATGCATGAAGATGATCGAGTTGTTATCCTTTTATTAAATAGTGCAAATTTTAAATGATAATAAAATTGTTTATTTGTGTTCATAGCTGATTTAATATCTCAGTTCCTAAGTTATAGTTTTCGGAGCTAATTTTCCAGCTCTAACAGTTTGTTAAATCACTAACCCTAAGTAAAAATACATAAATTTGGAGTGCGATGCTGTTTTGACATTTCATTATTGTTCTGAGTTGCATATTTTTATAAAACTAATTGTTTAAAAATTTTTTATATTGTTTTAAAATTGTGTTTTAAGCTGTGGTAGAAAACTAACATACTAATTCTAAAAAAAAATTTTAATAAATATAAAATTTTAATAAATATTTTTCTTTAGACTTTACAGCACTGTTGTGATTATTGAAAAAAACCAACCAACCAAAACAGTAGTTCCAGCTCACTGGGTTGACTCGGATAGTTCTGTTGTTTATTTTCCCCCAAAAGGGTACAAGGCAGTTGGTATGTATATTGCAGAATGGGCTGTACCAGAACCAGGATGGCAGGAATTTGAGTTTGTTGAGTACATATTAGATTCTGGAACATTAGAAACATGTAACCAGATGTTACATTTTCAAACTGAAGATGAGGCTGAAAATTTATGTAATCATTTTATAAATGTTTTCCAGAACATATAAATGTACATTTTTTTAAACATGAATTATTTGTTATTTAGCAATACAAAAAATTAAAATGAATAAAAGAGCTGCAAGTCCAGTGATAGATTTCGCGTCCAGTCCTACATCGTCTTCTCAACGTTTTACACCTAGTGATATTTTGGAAACGCCTGCAACGTCTTCGAAATTAAATATTGCATCATTGTTCAAACAAGATCATTCTTGTAAAACCACTAATTTGTTTGAGAAGCCTTCAAAAGTGGGTGATGGCGGTTCCTCATTTAAAGAAATGTCAAATAAACGTAAGTTAAAGGTTACCAATAAGTCTTTTTTTTTAGTTGTAATACATTCTTTTTATGTTACATATTTATTGCTCGTTTTAATACCCTGTTCATTCTGACAATAAAAGACTTACAATCTAAAATTGTGTACCTACTATTTTTTGTGTGCTTGTTTTATTACATTAAAAATAAAACACGTACCTTTAAAAACATATTCCATTATAACATTTTTGATTTAGTATATGAGAAAAGTTAAAGTTTTCAAAAATAATATGCAATAATTAAATGATTATTAGAATTTCAGTATGCAATTTTTAAAGAGTTGACAAATGAATTTACGCTGATCAAGCAAAATCAAAAAAAGATTATTGACCGCTTAGATTTATTAGAAAGCAATTTTGTTAGTGTAATGGGAGTATCAAATGACACAATTGAAGCAGATGTAATTATGAAGCCTATTGACTCGTTGGAGAAGTTTGATGAACAGGAAAATACGTTTAACTCAAGTAAAGTAGCAAGGTTGCAGAAGGTATATTTTAATTTCCTTTTAATAGATCCTTAAATTACTGTTTTTTGTTTTTAAATAATTTTTGCTAAATAGCGTTTTCTTTAGGCACCTTTGTAACTTGTGTCATAATGGATAGTTTGTTTTTCTGGTTGTAATCTCAGGTTATCCTTACGTTAAGTAAGGTTATCCTGCTACTGGTGACATGTAATCAAGTGCAATTTGCTTCATGTTAATGTCAGGAAGGGCATCCAGTTAAAAAATATTGCTTCAACTCTTTCATAATGGCATTTAGATGTCATTATGAAGAACTATCCAAACCACACAAGTGTGGTAAATATTACACAAAAAAAAAAACTCTTTGAATCGGTTGAAGATACCATTTCTATTCAATTATTATGGAGGAATAAAATACATTTAAGATAAAGAACTTTTATATAATTGTTTATATTTTACTTTTGTGTATAGATTCGTCAGATTAGAAGTGTGGGTGGACCAACTCCGCGGAGAGCTATTAAGAATGTGCTAGATTGTGTATTAGAGCGCAGCGTGCAAAATTGTTTCAGCAAAGATGGGTTGAAAGGAAAGCGGAAATTTCTAAGTACAGCACTTTATAAATGTTTAAAAAGTAAGTTTTTGTCCCATTTCACCCTTAATTTTTAAGCATTAATTAAAAATATTCTACAAATGTTATTTATATATATTTATTTAAATATATATATATATATATATATATATATGTGTGTGTGTTTGTGTGTGTACATATGTATGTATGTATATATATATATATATATATATATATATATATATATATATATATATATATATATATATATATATGTGTGTGTGTGTACATATGTACACATATATCTTATACTGCTGAGTTAGGTGAGCATGATGATGTCATATTCACCTAGTGTCAAATAGCCTGCTGTCGGGGGCTTCAGTACATACATTGACTGACAAATAGCCTGACTCGCAGTGGAGTGCTGCTACATCGACTGAGGGTTTGGTATGGGTCAGCAACCTTTTCATTCATTATTTTTCGTTTTTCCTCATCGTTTTCTAAAAACGCTCACTTAAATTAGGCTAGCAAAAAAAGTGAGCAATTGCGCATATAAATATGCTATAGTAGATATGTGTGTACATATGTACATATATATATATATATATATATATATATATATATATGTATTTATATATATATATATATATATATATATATATATATATATATATATATATATATATATATACATATGTACACACACACACACACACACACACATATATATATACATACATACATACATACATACATACATTATTACAAATTTGATGTAATTTTTGTTTTAGCTGCACTTATATCTGACAAAGGTGGTTTTGAAGGGAGCGATATTGAAAGACTTGTTGGTGATTTGTTAAAACGGGCTGTACCAAAGTTGCAAAAAGAAGAAAGTTGTCACGATTCTTCATTAAGTATTGTAACAGAAGAAACTTAGTTTTTTTATTACTTATTGTAAAAGAAGCTTTAACAGTAAATGGAATCTATTTTTATTTTTTTGGCTAAATGTTTCCGTTTCTTTAAACCTCTCCTTAACTACTCATTTTTTCCGAAATACTTGTTTAGTAACTCGTTACTTAGTAACGGGTTATAAATAGTTAAACGGGTTACAAATAGTAACTTACTAAAGTAAAGGGTTAATATACTATGCATAAACTCAGTTTAAAATTACTATAAATAAATTATAGCAATTTTAAACCCAGAACAATACTGAAATGTCAAAATAGTATCTTTATTCACAGCAAGTTTATTCAATTTGTGATTGTTTAAATATTTATTATATTATATTATTCAATTATAAATATTATATATTATTATATATATATATAAATATTATATATTATAAATATTAAATATTATATAATATTATATATATATATAAATATAATATATTATATATTATTTATATATATATAAATATTATATATTATATATATATATATATATAAATATTATATATTATTCAATTATAAATATTATATTATTCAATTATAAATTGTGTTTAGTAATCATTGACTTAAGAATTCGATGTTTGTATATAAATATATATATATATATCTACTGCTTTTGTTTAGAGTATGCAGCTATTGTTATTAAACAACAATATAAATTATATTGTTTACAATATAATTTATATTGTAAACAATACAAATATTTTTTTTAGATATATTATACATATAATATATCTAAAAAAATCAACTAACACAAAAAAATAGTACCATTTTGTTGGGTCAACCCAGTTGGTCAAACAGTTGTGTTTCATATTTCCCTTAAAATGGTGTGAGATATAGTGTGTATATTTCAGTATGAGTTATTATAAGACAATGATTGAAAGAAATTGACTTTGTTGAATATGCTGGATTCTGACACATTAGAAACTTGTAACCAGATTTTTCATTTTTTAACAAGATAAAGATTTGTAATATAATTATGTCAAATTTTTTGTAAATGTTTCCCAGATTATATTAATGTACTTTCTCTGTAACATAATAATTTTGTCGTTTAGAAAAAAAAAATTATTTAAAACAGTCAGCAAGTGGTTAGTATAGTGGTTAATTTTAACTCCACACATTCTATGTCGTCTCAAAACTGATAAAGCAACTAGTTCTAAACTGGATAAGAAGTCTTAAAAAGTAGGTCCTTATTTAATAAAATGTTGAATAAACGTAAGTGCACTTAAAAGTTATCCTGCAAAAAGTATTTTTATTAGTTATTATATAATCTTTTTTTAATTTATGGCCTAATAAATTCATTCATACTGACAATAAAAGTATTTTTCTATTTCAACTCATATGCAATGCAGTATTGGTGTAGTGGGAAGAGCGCTCGCTTTGTAAGCGAGAGGTTTGGAGCTCAACTCCTACCACGTCCCTGGAAGTACCGCGATCAACTTAGTTTCTCCACACAGCGGCTCAAGGCTCCTGTTTCGGAGTTAAAGAGTCGAGAAAGGTACTACGAAAAAAATATGTATATATATATATATATATATATATATATATATATATATATATATATATATATACATTATTTAAGGTAATTTTGACTTTTAGATGCAGTTATATATGACAAAGGTGGTTTGGAAGCGCGCAATATTGAAGGACTAGTTGGCGATCTGATGAAACGTGCAACCTCGAAATCGCCCAAAAAATTGCAACTATTTAACATGAGTATCGTACTATAAGAAAAATTTATATTGTAAAATTTATGCCTTTTTTGTAAAATATGATCTATCAATAAATTGAATTCTGTTTACTTGTATCTTCTTTTTTGTCAAAAACATTCTTTTTCCCTTATACAAATTATACTTATTTATTGCTAAAAAACGTGTCCCAGTGTCCATTGTAAGGGTTTTTAAGGGCGTTAACGTTTCTTTTTCTTTAATATGGACGTATTGTAAACGTCTGTAGACCTAAAATATTTATCTAATTTAAGTCTAAAACAGACGTCCATTAAGGTCCAAAATGGACGGACGAAACATGTTGCATTTGGACTTAGTTTAGACGTCTAAGGACGTCCAAAACAGACGTCCGTTCGTCCGAAACGGACGTCCAATGTACGTCTAGTGGACGTCCAAATGTTTACTGGGATTGAACAATGTAAATTTGTTTATGATCCTCTTTTTAAACCTTGTTATGTTTATAAATATGATTTTATTTAGAATGTTAAGAAAAAATTTAATTAGACATGCTAGAATACATCATGATTTACAAAAATTTTTTTCAATAAAAGAAAACATAGTGAAACAATTGTGGTTTAATAAATGTGAAATATGGTATCATGATAAATGCTATCGTGAATCATGGACTTTGAAAGATTTGTGTAAAAGAAAGTTAGCTTCTGAAAAACTACTACGAATAGTCAAACCAAATTTACGTAAACAAAATAACAATTTGATGTATTCGTTTTTTTCAAAATAATCAAGAAATTTTATCACAACATTCTGTTTACAAATTACGCGAAGACGATTGTTTTGAATTAATTGACAGACGTACATTAATTAGATCGTTTTAAATTAGATATTCAAATATCGATTGTTGATAATATATATAAGCTTTTTGTAAATACTTATTATATAAATTGTTTTTCTGCTACTAAGCAACATAAATTAGTCATGAAATCTTTTTTTAATATTTATATGGAATGTATAGATTGGTTATTTAAACAACATGAATATGTTATTAGTCCTTATTTTAAATCTAATAGAAATGACATGTATGATTTTATTTAACTTTTATTTTAGAATTAATTAAAAAAATGAAACTATTTACTATAGACGATCAAGATTATTTATTTTTTAACAGAAAAGAATCCGATATAATGACAAAATTTTTAAATGTGGAGCATGAAAAGATTAATGATACATCAACATTGAAAGCGTTTGGCAGTTTATTATTATTGGTACAAGAAGAAGTTTTAAAACAAACAAACTATTTCAAAAACATTGAAAAAACAGAAGAAATTAAACGAGACTTTTATAATTTTGTAAAACAAGTATTATCAAAATAAATATTATTTTTATTATTCTTTTTAGATTTTCATAATGAAATTAAAAAATTATAATTTATACCATACCAATACTCATATCAGCTTTAACCGCGAAGAATATAGAGTTTTTATGGAATTAGCTATAAATCGTAATGGAAACAATAATTTTAAAGTTTTAAAAGAATTTCATCGTATTGCTGTAATAATTGACTACGAAATACGTAAAAAAACATTCAATTTTACAAACGAAGAACTTTTTTATTTAATTAATAATAACTTTAAAAATTTTGTTAAAAGTTTTGTATAAGAAAAAACAAAATTTTACATTAATAAATTTTTTCATTTAATATATTGTCTCTCTCATTTTTTATAATATGATAACATTTGGAATGTTATACATCTTTTTGAAAATATAATCTTTCAACTAATCCTTCACAATAGTAACACAATTGTTGAACTATTATTTTTAAAATATTTACATAGTTTATTTTTTCAAACAATTTATCTATACAAGTAAAATAATAATAAAATGTCTTTAACACATCAAGACAATGTTCAATGACTTCACTATAGTTATGATAACACGTGTTGGAATAAAATACGCGATACGGAAGACATTCAAATAACATATCAAGAACTTTTATCAACTCTTTTTGATATGTCTTTATAATTTTTGGATCTTTAATATAAAAACCGTATACTCTTTTACAACTATCCAATTCGATTTCTTCGGCTAAAAGAACTTTATCCATCCAAATACCTTGATTTAAATGCGTTTCCTGTAAATGTTTTTTTTAAATCTAAATTGACTTGATATAAATATAACAAACAATCGTCCGTCGCATTAAAAGACATTTTAATAAATGAATTTTTTATTTACAAATTTACAATTATTTACAAATTTTTATATACATTAGCAACAACCGCGGCACCGTTCAAATAGTTCTTGTACGTACGGGCACACGGTTGTTACACAACCATGATTGTGCTCGCTTTCTTCGCATAAACAGCATCCTAAACATATCTCGCGTCTCGATGTCGCGTCTCGATTAAGTGCAAAATACCTATCACTTCTATTCATTCTATTGTCATCTAAATGACGATCGATTCGCATCATAACATGATCAAGTATACGCACTTGTTCTAAAAAAAATATTTTAAACTATTATTTTTTTTTTTTTAAAAATATCATGTTTAGATAAAATATTAATTTACCATCGTCTATTTCTGGAATATCCTCAATTAATTCCAGCTCTCCTTCATACAATCGCTCATCTGTTTCCTCAAGTGGTCTTGTTTCAACCACTTGACGAATTTAGATTTGAGGAGCTTTATAGATGTTTTATGGTACATATGGTTTGACAATCTAGAAAAAAACACAACCACTTCAAAAAAAAAAAAAAAAATACAAAATATTTTTCTAAAATAAACAAAAACTTACAGCTACAGGTTTTTCAAACAGTTTTTGCTTGACTTTATTTTTTTTACTTTCATCCATTTTTTTTACTTTAGGCATTTTTTATCAATAAATTTATTTTGACAAACTATCTAATTTATATAACAAAAAAAAAATGGTTTTCTTATATATATATTTTTTTGTTACGCTAGATTAACTTTAAACAATAAATCTAATTTTTTTTAAAAAAAAGCATTAATTAATATTATAACAAAAATTATGACATCATCGGTCGGGAGTCATAACTTGATTTTGGATAATGGTATATTTTTTTTGTTACGCTAGATTAACTTTAAACAATAAAAAAATCTTATATTTTTAAAAAAAATTATGACAAAAATTATGACGCGGTCGGGGCGGGAGTCATAACTTGATATTGGAGAATGGTATATCATCATTCAGTTATCGAAAATTGAAAACCTGAATGCAAAATTTACATTCAGGTTTTCACTTGTGTGGTTTTAATTGTTCTCCACCTATAATGTCCACAAACATAATATTAGATTTACTTTATATTTTTTTACTGAAAAAATTGATAATAATTAATTGGTGAAGCGTCTTCTAAAGATAGAATACATAAAATTATGCTGAGGTAATCAAAAACTCTTACCTTATTTATAATCAGGGTGACCACAGCTCCTCTGAATTCCTCTAAAGTCTTCTTTTTTAAAAATATGTTTTAAGAACATCATAGTCTATATAAAAATATACATTCATAAGTTTTATAACATTCGAATTCATAATTTTTTTAAATCTTTCTTATATAATTTTTTTTACATTTTTTTTTTATATACAGCTTCCTCTATTGTATTCAATGGGCCAAAAGAAACCTCAGTTAATGGAACATTGTTTGACTTTCTAAATTACGCTCTATTTCAAAAAGGTGGTGGAAAAGAGAAAAAATTTGTGTAGATTTTATTCAATTTTATGTAAATATATGTAATACATAGCTATATCCCAGCCAGTAAATAACGATGAAATAACGTTGAAATATTTTTGAAACCAAACGTTGAATAAACATTGGTTTAACATTTAGAATGAAAGTTTCTTTCAACGTTGACTTATCAACAATTAATCAACGTTAGATTCAAACGTTATATCAACGTTGATTCGACGCGAAAAAACGTTACAATAACTTGAATTTACGTTGATACAACGTTTAAAATAGTAGTTTTTTTAATATTGATTTATCAACGTTAAACGACTGAAAAGGAAAGATTTAAAAAAAAAAATGAATGGAAAAGTGTTACAACTTATGAAGGTATATCTTTTTCAACGCTATACAAATTAGTGTTCATAAAACATATTTTTCCACCTTTGCCCTTCATATCCTTAGAGGCCATATAACTTTTCGAAAAAACTTTGGACTTTTGAAAAATAATATAACTATTAGTTGGTTAATAATAACTTTTTCAAATATTTAATTTAAATAAAATAACCTTTTTAGTTTAAAAAATAATCAAATATAAAACATTTCTAGCATTGAAAAGTAATTTTCGGGGTGGCCCCATAAAATTTTTATAAGAAATTTTATGTGGCCATTTATTAATGGTTTAACGTCCATGTTTATACACTTATGGGGCTTGGTCAGGAATCAAATAATGTATTTTTTATGTTAAATAGCATGCATTTTCTAAAGCAATTTTTTGAATTCCATGCACTTTAAGGCGTTAACCAGTTTTGCAGACCAAGAATGGGTATTTTAAACATTATACTTAAACATAAACATTATACTTCCATCAAAAATTATACTTATTATACTTCCATCAAAAATTTAAAAAGGAAGAACAAATGAGGAGCTTTGATCAAATTTTTACCTCTTTAGAGGATAATAAAGGATTTTAGAAGTGGTTTTAAAAAAAGAAGACTTTAAAGGATTTTAGAGGACCTGCAGACACCCTGGTTATAAATGAGGTAAGAATCCAATACTGTTTTTATTTACCTTAGCATAATTTTGTGTATTCTATCTTTAGAAGACATTCCACCAATTAACTGTAATTGATTTATCTGTAAAAAACATGAAGTAAATCGAACAGTATGCTTGTGGAGATATATTATATTGTGGAGAACGATCCAAACCACACAAGTGGAAAACTTGCATCCAAGTTTCCACTTCTGTACAAATCTTGCATATACTTATCAACATTCTCATTATCACATTTTTCTTTTGTAGTTGTGAATTTAAAATTTTCACAATACTGTTTGCTTTCTCTTAGAATTGAAATAGTTATACAAATATTTATATATTTTGTATTAACCAAATCACTCTTCTTACCACATTATTTAAAAAATAATAATTGTAATATATAAATGTAATACCTGAAGAAAATTTAGTTTTTATTTGTATAAACTTAAGCCAATTCTTCTCTATATATAAGTGCAGTCAATGCTTTGGTACCTAGAAGCCGAAAAACAGTTTTATCACTAATCCAATTAGATGAAACTACTTCTTCTTGTAAATCTTTATTGCAAACAGCTACCTTCCGCATATTCGATATTGAAAAAATTACATGAACTAATATAAAATGAAGAAACCAAAATATAAATGTACTAACAGGCCTAATTAAGCTAGCTAAATCTGAACATTTTATAACCATAATACTTGCTAAACAATAATAGTAGTAGACATTATTAGCAAAGATAAGATTTTCTTTTAAACTCATTTTTAATAATTTATTTATTACTCTATTATTCAGCAGATTTCTGAATTTATTATTTCAAATAACTTAAGGCTCAATAACAAAAACAAATAATGAAAGATTATTAGGTTGCTAAAATATAAACATCTACATAAGATAATTATGGAATATTGAAAAAAAAATAGAAATCGAAAAAAACAAAAATACTCATTATTAATATAAAACATAATAGTATAATATGAGGTACATTATAACATTATATCTACTTTTAATTGAAATATAAAAACAACAAAAATTAAAAAAGAAAGCATTTTAATAATTAATAAATTATTATTCAAACAATTTTCAAGACCAAAAAATAACTTGTAACTTATTTTTTTACTTATTTTCATCTAATAAATATTACTTATTTTTTTTACTCATCTTCAGCTAATAAACATTAATATTAATACCAATTTTGAAAGTTAAACAAAATGCCATCAATTAAAGTTTCAGTCGCTCCATCGTATTTAATAGAAGAAGCTGTTAATAAAAAAGAATATAAAAAAAAAAAAAAAGGAGAAATTTTTGAATATATAAAAAATGAGAATAAAAAAGGTTTTACATATCTTATAAAGGTATACCTTCACAACACCAAATAAATTAGTGCTCTTAAAGCATATTTCTACCTTCTCCCTTCATATTTATGAAGGTCACAAAGTTGTTGGAAAATATTCAAAATTTTAATAGATAAGAGAACTGATATTAATTATGCGAGAACTAATATTAATTTTTTTTTTAATTTAAATTGAACTCATTATGAAACAATTTTTTTGCTAAATATATTATTCCTTAAAATTCCTGAATAATTAAAAAATATTTTGATTACCTCAGCATTATAAAGATATTCCATCAATTGCAATTGATTCACCTAAAAAAAACAACAACAAGTAAAGCTAATATTAATGTTTGAAAGTTTTTTTTAATGTTTGAAGGTTTTAAAAAAAAGAGGACTTTAGAGGATTTTAGAGGAGCTGCAGACACCCTGATTATAAACGAGGTAAGAGTCCAATACTGTTTTTGATTACCTCAGCATAATTTTGTGTATTCTATCTTTAGAAGACGTTCCACCAATTAACTAATTAATTTATCTGTAATTGATTTATCTGTAAAAAACATGAAGTAAATCTAATACAGTATCGTCCACAATTATTTTCGTCGCGTCCACAATTATTTTCGTCGCGTCCTCAATAATTTTAGTTTGTCTATAATTATTTTTAAATCAAAACACTTTATTTTTAAAAATTTTTGAAATCAAGAAAAAATCCAAGTATAAATTTAATCAAATAAGTTCATTACGTTGAATTCCTTTTAACATCCACTCACGCATGTGAGAATAATAATTCTCAAAAGAATATTCGGTAAAACCTGATAAAATCTCAGTAATAATTCTAATCAATTCTTGTGAATTGTTAGGCCGCGGTTGTATTCCTTTAAATAAATTTTTAACCACGCCAAAAAACTCCTCGATAGGATTAAGTTGAGGACTGTAAGGTGGTAAAAACTGGATAGTACAATTACTTTACATTAACTCTGCAATTTCAATAGTAGTTTTTGCATTATTTGCATTAATTAATAACTCGATTTCTCTCTTTCTTTCAATATTATTTCGTGCAGCTCTGCCACGTTTTTTTGGTATTATATTTTGATCTGCTTCAAGCTTTCGTATCCAGTTTTGTATTGTCCTAATTGAAAGACCTGTTGCATTTGCAATAGATCGACTTGATTTGTTGCCAATCAACATTCTTTTTATTGTGGCAATATTTTCTTCCGTTGCTGTTTTGTTTTTTATTTGTTCAGCCATTTCGATATTTGGGTTATTAAGTTGTTGTTAGCCATTATGGCTTAAAGTGTTTTGATTTAAAAATAATTATGGACAAACGAAAATAATTGTGGACGCGACGAAAATAATTGTGGACGCGACGAAAATAATTGTGGACGATACTGTATTATGCTTGTGGCGATATATTATATTGTGGAAAACCATCAAAACCACACAAATGGAAAATTTGCATCCAAGTTTCCACTTGAGTGCAAATCTTGCATCCACTTGTCAACATTCTCATTATCACAATTTTCTTTTGTAGTTGTGAATTTAAAATTTTCACAATCTGTTTGCTTTCTTTTTAGAATTGAAATAGTTATACAAATAGTTATATATTTTGTTTCAACAAAATAACTCTTTTTACAACATTATTTAAAAAATAAAAATTGTAATAT